ATGTAAAATTACAAAATATTTATATTTAATTTTGCCACTTCCATTTCTGTAGTACCTAAAATTTAAGCAGCCCTAAAGCAGCTCATGACTTGCTTGTACAACAACGGCGTGGCCTGTGGGGAGAGATACGACCCCGATGAACTTGGAAGCGCTATGCGTTCGCAGACATCGGTCCAACCAATCCAACACATTTGTTGGTGGATTGTTGGACATCGTTGGACAACTTTCAAAATTCACTGGACATTATTTCGTCGAGTTCGAGCCAGCAGAGCAAACTATTTGTTGGGACATGTTTTCCGTGCTAAACACTTTCTTCTCGATTTGTTCGAAACTGTTGGAAGCCTTTTGTACAGTTATCGAATGGACTAGAATTTGCTGCTAAGCACAAGCTTTTTGCAAAAGCGTAAAAAACAATACGAACATTGCTGTAAAAATATTAGATTCACGATGTGGTTGTAAACCTTCGTTTCAGTTTTAAAACATTAAACAAATAAGGATAACTATTCGGCTATGCAGAGAACTCTTTGGTTATACTTAACGTCTTAACTGCAAAGCTGCAGTGGTTCTCAAAAGGCATTTTGTTTATTACTACCATGATGTGTTGATGTGTGTCTCAAAAAAAAAAATGGTTTATTTATATTATGCTTGTTCAAATAATAAATATATTTATTTATGACATTATTATGACTGAATGGCGAAGAACACAGATAAGACAAACAACTGTAAAGATAGGCTTAGTCTCAATAATTTACATAAAAGTTTATAATTATTGTTACTTTTTCAAAAAAACATTTAATGCAATTTTCATGGACCTAAATTAGGGTGTGGTGGTAAAAAAACGGTCAAGAAGCATCTATATACGCAGACTACAGAGTCAGTGTTTGGTAAGTTCGTTTGAAAATTGTATTCGTTCACACTAAAAACAAAATAGTTTGTCTTTACATATTTTGATAAACGAACACGTTTACGATGTTCAAGTCCTTAAAAAAAATTAACACATTCACCAGACCGTTCATTTTATATATTATTCTAAAAATATTTGAATAGAACTTTGAGAAGTTATAAATATTTTTTGTTTAATGACTTATAAAATTAGTTAATCACATAAATGAAGTTCCTATACCTAAATCCAAATTAATCACCGGGGTAACTTATTTATTCATATCAGTACCAAAATAAAACGAACAAATATGATTTAAAATATTTTTGTAAAAATAAAAAGTTGTCATACCCATGGACATATTTTCTGATTCGACATGTGATTTGTCATTCCAGATATTTGTATAAACATTTCAAAAACACCTTAAAAATTGTATAACAATATATTATATAGCTATTCGATACATGAAAATAAAATTTCATTAATATTGTAACGTGATAGGTAAATAATAAAAATAATTTGATTAGAATAATCAAAAAATTGTTCAATTCCCTTAAAAATATGAATTTCGTTCACTTTCTATTCGATATAAGTGAGTGACGCTTACGAATCGTTTACAAAATATGAACTTCATATTATTTTCCAAACTTTGCAGCACAGCGTTCTGTGTTAGTTCATGACTATTTATTATAATTTATAACAAATGTTTTTTTTTTTTAATTATTACTTTTTTTTTAAAGAGCTACGTTGTTTATTATAAATTTAAATATATTTTTATATTGTTTGACCTCGACTTTGTCGACTTAGAACATAAACAATTTCAATTTTTTTTTTTTTTGTTACAATAATAATATATTTAAGACGGTAGAACTTTGTACTTTTAAGGTCGTACCTATGAATTATTAATTTCCATCAAGCATTCAACTATCTATGTAGTTATATATTTATACAGAAGTTTCAAAGTAATTAACGACGAGAATAATAATTATTATTCAACGAACGGGCATGCGTGTGTGTGCGTGTGTGCAGAACGAGCTAAGTCTATCCTGAGATGGACTATAGCTAATGTTTGATTGTGATTTATGACGGCGCCTAAGTAGAACGTCATGATATTTGTTGACATTTTACGTTGACATTCCTAAAACGTTTTAAATATTTAAAACTGATTATAAGATATAACTATGTATACAACTAATGTCTAAAATGCTAAATTCAAGCGTCCATTGAAAATATTATCTTTTCATTAAAATTGCAATTTTTCGTAATTCAAGACGTCTAATCTACAAACGTTTTCATAAAGCTGTCTATCTTCTTTTATGAGATAGGTGGGTAATTTTATAATTTTTATTAAAAGACTTATCACACACATTATATTTATGGTTTAAAATATTGATAAAAAATATTTTTTTGACTGATAGTCGATACGAAATCAATATGTGTCATAAAGTTTACTTACTTCTGAAGTTTTGAGGTTTCGTTCTGCGATTTGATTTTGTGGGAAGGCCTTAACACTACATGCCACATTCTCATTACCTTTTTATCTGACCGGTATTCTGGTGGAACCTATGATTGTCCGTCGAAACGAATAATACTCGGCTGCGATCAACCTGTTACAATGTTTCCAATATTATTCTTGAAATGATTGTATATATTGAAAGCATATTTTTTTTATGCACATTTAAACTATTATTTGTAGTTCAAATTATTTTTCTTATTGTAAAGAAATTTCTGATTTCTATTGACTTTCGAGAACGTAAAATTATTTAAACGATTATACATGACGTATAGAAAGATGTAGGTATATAAAACATTCGTACAATTATTGCCGAGTTGTTCGAAATATATAGTTTATTGTGCAATTAATAAATACAATTTTACACGCTTTAAATATAATATGCTAACAAGTGAACAAATTCAGTAATAGTTTGTATTGTTATATATATAATATATATATTTAAAAAAAAGAGGAAAATAATTAAACTTGTAATCATTAGGCTATATCACAGATAAGTCGTTATAAAATATAAAAAAAAAATTAATACAACACTGAAATTATATTTAAAATAAGCGAATCATATTATGTCATATTATTATATATAGGTAATAATCAACATAATATCATATTATATAATTTGTTCGAATCGTCAGTGATGCTCAGCGTTCATTTACTAAAATTGTCTACGTATATTGTAATCTAAATGTTTGCTTAAAAATAAATGTTTACACCTTATGATTTAAACGTTTACATTGTAAAAGTATTTTATGTGTGTACATATACCTATATATTATATCTTAACATAAAAATAAATAATAATATAAATAATATAATATAAACGCGACACTGACGACCGCACTACACTCTTTTCGATCGAAAGCGCTTAGATAAAATGTGTTCGTAAGCATTAAATAATCACGATTCGTGTGATGCGATTATAATAATAGGGTTCCAACACCAGAATGTGGTACCCGATGAGGTTCATCCCCCGACAAAACCGATGCAATATTATTATTATTATTATTCGCAGCTACCACGACCCCGAAATGGATCGCGAATTACGACTTATATTGTGCAGTAAAAGCATTTGAACGCACTCGCTGGTTTTCAGCGATCCCCTCCGGTCGAGCCCGTCGTGTACCCGTAAGTGGACTTAGGGGGCGCAGGGCGCTGGGGACATTGCTGCCCACCCCCGACCCAATCAGATTTCAGTTTAACGTTTTATTTCCGGTCTAGGGTCAGTGAACTGCTATAGCACCGCCCGCTTATTAGATATCTCCCTCCCCTGACCAAAAGTTTGAAGTGTGTCTAATTCGACATAATATTTTACTTACACTGCTATCTGATGTTTTAAATCGTACAGAACTCCACTCGAGTTTCACCAAAATTTTAATCGAGAGTGTACTTAAAGCTATATAAGAGTAGAAGAAATAAAAATTAAAAATAAGTGCACGTGTGATTCGAGAAAAAAAGTCATGTCTGAAGAAATATGAAAAATTGTCGTAACGGTGTGTTCGGCAGAGCCCGCGGGAATGACGTAAACTCCGAAATAACTAGAATATTATTAAATTTTATTGTTCACACGCTTCGGTCTTCTGGACGTGTCTTGGGACTGTGTGGTTCTAGACACACACCTGTTGCCCGTTATATTATACATCACGCATAGCCCGGTGATACGAATGAACGATGGAAATCCAAACCGCGGGGACGATAGTAACATGGTTTTACACTCGGAGAGACCTAAAATCGAAAACGATCAGACAAATGTCGACGATTATAATAATGTCATACACCGCGAAACCTATACCAAAAAAAAAAAAATAATACAATAATAATTATAAGTCAACGTTTTTTCGTCATAAAATATACGTACAAAACGGTGAAATTCGACCACTGTCGTGCAGAATTTGATATAACAATAAATTAAAGTATTTAATATGTTATGTATAATACCTCCAAAAGTATCCTGTGATATTGCGAACGGATTACGATTACCTGTACAACAAATTCCTTGAAAATTCAGTGTACTCGGTACTCAGGGGTCGACTTTAGGATGGTCCTTGCCTATGATACGGGGTCGACGTTTTGTCAGGCAACGAGGTAGATAATATTTAATAATTATGGGACATATGCGTATAATATAGTACCTAATAATATTTAATTATAAAGTGTGAATAACAAAATTGTTTTATTGTTTTCTGCAGTACGAGAATAAAATATGAAATAGTATTCGCACAGCAGTATCGATTTAAAACGCCACCGTTCAAAGTGACTCGCAAGTCGTTTACAATAGTAATTTACAGCAATAACAAAAAATCACCCTAGATTACTTAAACTATTTTATGTACATAATATATGTATTTCCATAGCCACTCTATTTATGTACACATTATATACATATGAATAATAAATATATAATCGAAACGACGTGATCCGTGTCGATAGGCGAAAAAAACAGAAAAATGGACGTCACATCAAACCTGTCTTTATTATGTTATTATTATTATTATATATTTTACAGCTACATAGTATTATTACATTATTAGGTACAAGTACATGTACATCTATATTTTGTATTTTTTTGTTCCGTCGACTATATTATTATTATATTGTACATCATCTCGAACACCATAAACTATTATTATACGTCGCAGTAATACACATATATATATATACACACGTTATTTACAAACATATACTATTATGATCACACCGATCGTTAAACCGACCGAAATGAATTAAAAACACATAAAACAATATTATAATCATTGATTTAAATTAACTACTTACACGCGTCTCACGCCCAACAATATCATACAGTTTAATCACGATTAATGCACGTTAAGAAATCTGTGTACAACACACACGCATGATATACGAAAACAATAAATTATAATAAAAAAATGTAAAGAGGAATAAAATAAAGCTGACAAAGATATCAACAGCAGCAGTGCGATGCGGGGGGGGGGGTCCCTAAAATATTTTTCCCGATTTTGGAGTGTAATATGAATAATATTATAATGTAATGTGCCAAAAACGATATGGTGCCCGTTCTCGTTGAAAAATCTAAAAAGCTTCGAGCACAGTCGGCCCTAGTCGGACTAGGCAATGCGACGATTGCGGGTGAAATGTAGCACCTGTGGAACCCCTGAAGCTCGTCCAATTCAAAAAAAACTTGCAAAGCATCATATTAATTACGCGTTTGTAAAAACGATATTTTAGTTTATGGCTCGTTGATTATAATATGTCCGAGTACATTCCCCACCGCTCAAAAAAAAAAAAAAAATTACAAATCAATTTTATGGAAACGGCCTTTTGTCCGATGAACTTTAATAAGTTTCTACCAGTGCAAAACGCACCACGCTAGGTGATATTAATATTATTTTCTTAAAATATCTACTGCGCTTTAATATTATTATATACTGTCGTTAAGTGTACAGAATACAGAGCGATTCAAAAGTCTCCGTCCGATTCGGGAAAATTCGTATCTGTTTATTATTAAATAATGAACATACCTCTACAGCAGCAGGAACCCAAAAACATTTTCAAAACGATAAATTCTAGTTTACTCTATATACAGTGTGTGTTACAATTAATAATGTTCGATGCGGCCCGAATACTAGCATGGTACGAGCGATATTTTCTTTTTTTTCCCATATATTTTGCACCCATCATCTTGACACACACATTTTATCGACACATTTTAATTTTTAACTTTTGCGTCACCCTGTACACGACGTGCGGCTTGTTGTACATGCGTAACATCTGCGCCGCCCAGCCTACGCCCTGTCCTTGTCGTACTTGGTCAACTGCAACGGTTGCGCAGCCGCCGCCGCCGCCGCAGCCGCAGCCGCTTTGGCCGCGCCCTGTTCGAGGGCTCGGTGGTGAAGGGCGGTGAAGGCGGCCATTTCGCGCCAAGAAGCGATCGTGGACAGCACGCTGTTGTGGTGCTGCTGAATGCTGTTGTTGTTGTTGTTGTTACTGTGGTGGTTGTTGTTGTTGTTGTTGTTATTGTTGTGGGGGTGTTGGAGATGGTGGTGCGAGTGGTGGTGATTGTTGTTCGGGTTGTCGACCGTTCGTTTCTGGTCTCCCGGGTGCATGACGTGACCAAAGTACGGCGGTCGGTCGGCGCCGAATCGTGGACGCGAAGGGTGATTGTTATGATGATGGTGATGATGATTGTGGTGCAGATGGTGAGGTGTCGGGGACGTCAGAGCGACCGCCGCCGATGTCTTTCCGTCGTCGTTGTCGTCATCATCGACGTCGCCATCGCCGCCGCCGCTGCCGTCATTGTTGTTGTTGTCGTTGTCGTTATTGCTGTTGTTGTTGTACGAAGACGAATTATTGGAACCATCTCCGTCGTCCATCGGCTCGTCCATGACGCCACCGCCACCGACGCCGTCGTCGTCTTCGTCGTCCGTCGTCACGTTTATCTCTTCGGACGATTCGGACGCGGCGTAACTCTGCTGGACGAGCTGTCGGTGCAAGTGCTGTTGCGGCATCAGCGATCGGAACGCGCTGTTCTCGCCGCCGCCCAGACACCTGGCCACAGCAGCCGGACAGGGCGGACCGCCGACGCCGTCGGGTCCACCGACCGGGCCGCCGATCGCTCCCGCGACGGGCGACACGACCGGCGGCGTGGGCGTACCCGCCGCCGAACCGCTGCTGCCGCCCGACACGGTCGACGCGGCCGCCACGCCCGACCGACGCGATTTGTTCATGCGCTGGTGCCGCCGCCACTTGGCCCTTCGGTTCGAGAACCATACCTGCGAAATACATTGTTATGAGTGCTCCGTTCGAATACAGTAACGTTATACAATATACATGATATTATATCAATATTGTAATATAATATAAAAATATTTAAAAAATAATAATATGGCGTAAAACAATACTGCAAAACAATAATTGGGTAGGGTATTTATATTAGGTATAAATAGACTTTTTGGTTCTACTTGGTTTTGCAGTCTATTTGTTTTTATAATGTAGAAACCATTGTACGTTAAGTTTTTACTCGAGTAACTATATAGTGCAACATGTGATGCCATAAAAGACCAAATATGACTTTAAAATTGTTAAGTATTCGCTAAAATTATTCGTGTTTTTCAATCACACTTGTTTGAAACTTTTTTTGAGCTAAATTATACATTTGTACCGCATAATACAGTACCTATACGGTCGACCGGTATAAATATACAAATGCACAAATCCGACAGGACCGATTATGATATGCACCATATGCACATCGATGACGCTTCTCAATCATATGTTCGTATTTTTGGGGTGGGTGATGGTTGAATGGAAACTTGTTTAGTAAATATGTACAATGAACAATTTTATTATCAAATATCTGAGGACTAGTGTTGAAAGTTGACATATAGGAATGCGTTTGGACCACAAATTATGATATTATCATTAATAATTATAATTGTTTTAATTCCTACTGAAACATGTCAGTTATTGCTATCAAAAAGGCAATAATAATGATATTAAAAATGACTGTTGTTGGTGGCTAAATCAAATAAGGCTTATCTGTATTCACTGACTTGTTACATAGTTCAATAATATTATATGTTATAATTTATAATTGGAATATAATGAAGCTATAAGGTGCTGTAATTTAGCTGAAATGTAGTATACAAAACTTAGGAATAAGAGGAGGCAAGGGGGACAATGCACCTCACGGATCCGTGTTAGGTAATCTTGCACTTGGAAGCGCAGTCTTTAAATTGGTTGGATTGAGCTTCTCTACTTAATAATTCCCAATTTGAACTCTGTATTTTATATAAGACGTATACTATATCTTAGAAATTATTAAATGGAAAACCACGGATAGGTATTGAAGGTATCGCTGTACTTTCGAGCAATATCGTATATATAGGATTTTTTCATGGTGGCTGGAGGGAGGGGATAGATTTGAATAGACATATTTAGTATAACACACATATTCATATTATTATTATTAT